TGTTGGGGAGTAGAGGACGTGCTGATAAGAGCAGACACTTCCTCTACTCCCCTAGAGAAGAAACGTGGTTAGCTCACTAGCACCCTAAGGCTTTTCTTTGTTCCGCACAACCCTTGAAACCACCCTTCGAGATTGCATTCCTTGAAAATCACCCCCTCAGGTACCTTGAGTTCAAGGGTGGAAAACGCAGAAAAGGGTCGACAGGGCCCATTTCCACCCTTGAACTCAAGGTATATCGCCACACAGAGGTACCTTGAGTTCACGAGCGAAAATTGTCCTGTTGCCTCTTAAGCCACCAGTACCTTTCTCCTACATCGGCCGCGGGCGGGGAAAAAAGGCCCCGAAAGCAAAAACGGGCCGCGGATTGAATTTATCAATGGCAGCCGAACCCCGGTTGGCCACCGCATGACGCGGCGCGACATTGAAAACAAAGCAGGGAAACTTACTGGCGGTTTGAGCCCCAAGGATGGCAGGATGTGTCAGATACTACGTTGTTCCGAGGGCGATAATTAGGGCACAGTGGAACAAGCGCTGGTCAGACAAGCTGCCCACTCTGGTTGGGCCATTACATCATTGACTCAATTGATGATCAGATGGCTGGATTATAGCAGTCCTGGTTTCTAAGTTTTAAATGTCATTTGTTTTCCAAGACATAAAGCTATAGAACACTATCCCAAACCCGTCGCACATGCTTTCGACCAAACCCATAACCAAATAGAATCTCCCTGAGCGCGGCATTTCTTTGTTTTCAGACTTTTTTTGAGTCTTTTTCTGAATTCTATGATTTCTCTTCTTGTAGTTCCCTCATTCTTTTCGTTTTTCTGACTTTGGTTGACCAACTTGACCCTCTAGACCCCTCTGGATCCAGAGAGGTCATCTCAGACTCGATCGGCGACAGGAACATTTGAAGCACCACGACGAGATATAATTGCTCCTGGCGACTTGTAATAGGTTACTTGTTCATTTTAAGAGTACCAAGAGAAGATTGGCTAATGACTCTTCTAAGCCAGATGCAACTTGTGAAAGCACCAAGCTGATCTCCAAGTGCTTCTAGCTACGAGGGTGTGGAGGCGTGGAGGCATGGAGGCCTAGCCGACTAAATAGCAAGTTTAAGAAGGTCTCAGTCAGACGACAGCGACAACAACAACAACGACAGCTCCTTATGGGAAAGCCTGATGTTATTGGCATTTTAGGTGTTCTTGGCGCCATTGTTTTCTTTGGCTCCTTCGGTAAGCAACCACATCGTCAGTGCCCATCATAACAATCGTCGTCGTCGTCGTCGTCATCATCGTCATCATCATTATCGTCGTCGTCATCATCATCGTCATCATCATCCTCGTCTTTGTCATTCTTAGTTATCAGTCCAGTGTTTCGTTCTTTTTTTTATGACTGGTGAAGTGAACAAAACCGACTAGCCTAACAAAACCCTAAAACCCTAAAACCCTAAACCCTGAGCCCTAAATCCTAATCCCTAAGCCCTAAGCCCTAAACCCTAAGCCCTGAGACCCAAACCATTACCTGAAAGGTCTCTAGTGCTAAATTATTGACCCACAAGCTTTTCGCAGTAAGGTGGATGTCGAACTGCCAGTGGTTCCCAGCCTCTTTTTCCCAATGTGGATTTTTGCTCGGCCCTAAGAAATCCAAAAAGCCGTGGCGTGCAATTTGCCTGGCGCCACCAGCCTTTTCACAATGACTTGCTCCGAGGCTTTTTGTGGCCCCTTGTTAACCGGCGGCTTTTGTGGCCCCTAGTTAACCGGCGGCCATTTTTTCAAAGGCTGGGACAACCACTGGGGGAGAAGGTGCTTCCACCAGACCTCATCCCATCTTCGGACCGGCCCTCTGCAGTGCTCACCGATTGCATCCGCTGTATCTCTTTTTTGTTTTTCTTTTTTCTTTGCGTCCGCTCTATCATCAAATCCTATTCCCTCTCGTAGCTCTACTCTAGCTATTGGTTGTGCATTCCAGACACTCCTCCCTCTCCTCCCACTCCTCCCATTCCTCTTGCCTCTATTCTTCTAGGAAGATTCTCACGCCCGGCCGGGCACCCAGGCGTGCAAAAAAAAAAAAAAGTAAAAAAAAAAAAAAAATCTTCTTTCCTTCTTTTTTTGGTTTTCTGCAGTCTCCCAAAGGACCCCAAATCCGGGCTCATTTCTTTTTTTGCGAGTTGGCTGTCAGGGGGTTGAGGGGAGTATAAATTGGTTTTAAAGGGGCTAAAAAGGGGTCTAAAGGGGGGTGCCTATGTGTGATTCTGTTATATTCTTTTTTTTATCTCCGATTCTGTGGGGAATTATAATGTGACCCTCAGCCAAAAGTCGTTTGTATTTCAATTCTACACAACATTTTTTTTTCCAGAATTTTTTGAATTTTTTTTTGCGCTGGGGCTGCCTAGAACCCTGCCCGGGGGTCATGCCCGGCTGGGCACCCGGGCGTGTACCCGGGCAGAAGTTGGGTACCCGGGCGCCCGGAAAACAGCCTTGCTATTCTTAGCATTTCTTCCTGTTTTTTTTTTTTTTTTTTTCGAGAAAAGAAAAACTTGATTGCTCATGAAAAAAGAGTTCTGAGGCCAGGTCCTCACATTATCCCGGAAAAAGGAAAACCCAAAGAAAGAAAATTAACCCCCTTCCCGCAGATCTAGTCCAGCTTTTCTCACTCCACCAGCCTAGACTGTAGCGCAGGAAGTCCTCTTCTGTCATCCAAAATAATCTTGCCCCTCCTGGACGACGAGGAAAGCAAAGAAAAAACCACCCTATTACCTACCTACCTACTTACGCTGAAGTAAAACCCAAATAAGACAGTAAGATCAAACCTGAAACCGGAACCAGAGCTAGACGTCGCTCCTTTCTTCCTGTTTTCACTACTACTACATACAACGACCATCTCTTCTTCTTCTTTTTTCTTTTTCTTTTCCCGATCATAAAAAACATGAGCATCTTTGTGTTGATGCATTTCGCCCAGCTGTACTGTCTTGACCAGTGGAACTCCTTGTTTAATCCAAGTCAAAGCGTTGATCATGAAAAAGCAACCGATGAGAGGAGGAGAAATCTGTCACAATTTATGGCCTTACAAGTTACAACTTTACCCCATATTGCTTTTTGTTTTTTGTTTCTTACCTCCACCAGATTCTACCATACTTGCAAGCGGACACCGTCCGTGCGGTTCTGCACATGCGGCGGACCTCTGGACCGGACCTGCGCGGCGCACGAATGTGTGCCTGACGACCAGTTACCCCCCCCCCCCCCCCCCAAAAAAAAAACGGCCCCGTCCGGTCTGGTCCGGTCTGGTCCGGGTCCGTCCGGTCCGGGGGGAGGGTGCCGCATGCGGCAAAGCGGACCATCAGTAGCCCACAACGAAGCTTTTTACGTTTCCCGCTCCGACGCCTTGATGGGAAGCTGGAAAACGGCTCCGGACATTCTCACCCTTGAAGACAACCCTGGAGCAAAGACTCTTACAGGGCCAAGCACATGCTGAAAGCGAAGGGTGGTTATTTTTTGTTTTGGACGTATGTTTGCTTGGCTTGTTGGCAGCTGCACCCATCAAGTGGCTCACTCTGAGGGGTGAAAAGGTGAACCCAATCATCTACCAGGGGTACAAGTCTCTAGCCTGCTTTGCCAGTTGTCTTCTCATTCTGCTCTTTGTGGTACGCAATCTCAACTGTCCATCTGTCCATCCCTCTTTAGATCCATTTTTGTTTCTTCCTTTTTCCCCCTCTTACCTTCTCTACTACCCAATTCCATTCACCCTACACCCCCTACACCCTACACCCCCTACACCCCTACACCCAACACCCTTCACCATAGAACAGTAAACTCTGGACCCTGCTTCACACATACTGGTGCAGTTGACACTCTACCACTTTCTTTATATTTTAAACTTTGACTACCTAACAGAGTAGAAATTCCAGTCAAATTTACCACTCCATCAAATAGCCACTGATCTAAATAAAAGTTATAAAACAGAAGTTCAGCGAGATTACGAGTTCCATTTATGGCGACCTTTTCTTTTGCACTCTACAACCTTGGTAGTCTGAGAGTACATGACGTTGTGTATTGAAGCGAACTTGCAAACTCACACTTTCAGAGAATCTGATGTAGCTGATCGCAATGACGGCCAAAATCAATCAGTCCAAAAAGTCCTTGTCTATCCCCCCTTTTGAGACTCTTGGAACCATGCCCGGCCAGTGGTCCGTTCGCGCTAAGAAAATCATGAACATGGCCATTCTAACGACCAGGTTCATGGTTTCAGAGAAGAACATGGCCACCATTACGGCCAGGTTCATGGTTTCTGAGATGAACATGATCATTCTTGTTACCAGTTTCATGGCTTCTGAGTGCAAACATATAATCAGGGGTGCCGGGATCTTAGAGTCGTATGCTGTTGGGACCCATGCAGCAATTGTCCATGTTCCCCTCGGTGCATTTCTGTTTCCTTTCTTGAGGAAGTTGCATCTGTACCCCATTTAAAGATGGGAATTCCCTTTATAACTTATAAGTGTATACCCAGTCCCAGCAGCCAACTTGCATCTATAGTAGATTTTACACCCAAACCATGACATTGTCCAACTCAAACCACCAGTACACCCGGACCTGGAGGCGCCTTACTGTGCGGCAAGCTTTTCCAACCCCCGGCGGCGCACTTTCTTTCTTTTTTGGCTGGCGCCGCCAGCCATTGTGGTCCGGTAGGCCGAGCCTCTGAAAATTTCCGTAGGCGACGAGTTGCATTTTCAGCAAGACTGGGGGAGTGTACTGGCAGTTTAAGCTAATAGTACCGCAATACCCTATTTTTCCTATACGCTAAATTATACCTATTYCSRGCCTCTGAAAATTTCCGTAGGCGACGAGTTGCATTTTCAGCAAGACTGGGGCAGTGTACTGGCAGTTTAAGCTAATAGTACCGCAATACCCTATTTTTCCTATACGCTAAATTATACCTATTCCCGATCCCGCAGGGCCTTGGTCCAGGAGCACGGAAATATGCTCATCCCCAGAAACAGGACAGGTGAAATTGGATGTGCACATACTTCGCCTGAGCTGGAAAGGTTTAGAAGGGTTTGTTAGGGATTCTGAGGGTTGTGATCATTCGTAGGACCTCTGTGGTGGCTTATGGCATGAGTAGTTCCTTAAACCACCAGTACTTCCTAGGAAACGTACGGGCCACTACAGGAGCGCCCAAATTCATCCAACTAGAAACGTTTCTACTCTATTTTTTTTCCGCGGCCGATAGCTGGGCCAAGTACTGAATCACATTGTGTTCTCAGACTGTTCTCAGCCGAAGCTGGGTAATGGCCCCGGTATCTCAAATGATCTTTACAATTCGATATGGGACGCTGGGCCCGGTTCCCAGCACGTGCTGCTCTCCACGAATAGATTGGAGCACTCATTTTTTTGGAAAAAAAAGAAAAAAAAAAGAAAAAAAGTTGAGCATTCTGGTAGTTGGGCATAACCGCAACTTGCCCCCCCTTGGCCCCAAGCATCTGCAGGCCATTTCCCTGGCATACATGCAAGTTGGGGCACTATGACTGGGTATAAAGGGAATTCCCATCGTTTGGAGGGGTGCTAGGATGGAGATAAAATGAAAGAAAGATAGGGATAGAGAAGGAGCTGCACAAAAGATGCCTAGGATGGATCTCAAGGTCCAAACCGGACCAAACGTAATTTTCTACAGTTGGAGGTACAATGCACAAATTATTAAAATTAATGCGTTTCAGAAAACGGAAGTTGGAAAAGATAAGAATTGGAGAGGGGCCGGCAGCCTAGCTAACTTGGTAGAGCATGGAAGCAGTGGTTCAATTCCCCACGTCTTCCACTCGGATTTCGCACGCCCTCGTGCGGCGCACTGCGGGTTCACCAGCTGAGATGGTCGGCTTGCCCGCCCTGGTTGGTCGTGGTAGGGGCTTCTGAGATGGTCGACTTGCCCCCCCTGGTTGGTCGCGGTAGGGGCTATTCCGTCGCCCCTTCCATCCCTCACCTGGGGTTAGGGCCCAACCCTAGTGGAGCCCACGCCCTCGTGTGGCGCATTGCGGGTTCACCAGCTGAGATGGTCGGCTTCCCCCCCTCCCTGGTTGGTCGTGGTAGGGGCTATTCCTTCGCCCCTTCCATCCCTCGCCTGGGGTTAGGGTCCAACCCTATTGGAGCCCGCACCCTCGTGTGGCACACTGCGGGTTCACCAGCTGAGATAGTCGGCTTGCCCCCCCTGGTTGGTCGTGGTAGGGGCTATTCCTTCCCCTCTTGCATCCCTTACCTGGGGTTAGGGCCCAACCCTAGTGGAGCCCATGCCCTCGTGTGGCGCACTGCGGGTTCACCAGCTGAGATAGCCGGCTTGCCCCCCCCTGGTTGGTCGTGGTAGGGGCTATTCCTTCGCCCCTTCCATCCCTCACCTGGAGTTAGGGCCCAACCCTAGTGGAGTTAGGTTTCTCCGAGGTGCTTAGACATGGGTGGAGGCTGGTGCTAAGACATACATAGGTAGGTAGGTAACATGAGGTATAATTGAGAGAAGAATATAGCTTAGTTAAAAAAAAAAAAAAAAAAAAAGAATCAGAGAGAGATGGTGGGTATGTCAGGTCCAATTTGAAATTTCGAATTAGAGAAAATGGATACGGGAGATGCAACGTCAGGAATCACGGGCCAGACCCCAAACCACAGCCTGGGTGTAAAACCCTGGGCCCTGGGGCAGCAGGCTGCCCCCAACAAGATCCGAGATTGAGGACAAAGTTGACGCACACGAACTCAGGACGACTGATATGTCTTCTCAGAGAAATGAAATAAATTAAATTTGAATAATTCTATTAATTCATCTTTTCTGATTCTTCTCCATTTTTTTTGGTGCCGATTTCTGCAGGACTTAGTTCATTATACTGTTCAATGGCATTCACGATGCCCCCTCTTCTTCTTCTTCATCCTCTTCTTCTTCCTCTTCTTCTTCTTCTTCTTCCTCCTCCTCCTCCTCCTCCTCCTTTTTCTTCTTCTTCTTCTTCTTCTTCTTCTTCTTCTTCTTCTTCTTCTTCTTCTTCTTCCTTTTGCTGTTGCTCCTGCTTCTGATGCCTCTGTTCGTCCATCGCCCAATTGCTTGCAGGAAGCCAAGTTTACGCTATGGGGTTTCGTTGGGGCAGCGTCCTGGGTTGTCAATGGGATCGTGGCGATCGAGGCTGTGAAACGCGCAGGCATGGCAATATCTCAAGCTGTATGGAGCAGCCTGAGCAGTGAGTTACTCCCCCTTCCCACTCCTCTCTAGCTCCTGTCTTCATCCTTAGGACTGCCACCTCTTTTGCTTAATTTTGATACCCTGAACTCAGATTCATTGGAGCTCTCTCTCTCTCTCTCTCTCTCTCTCTCTCTCTCTCTCTCTCTCTCTCTCTCTCTCTCTCTCTCTCTCTCTCTCCCTCTCTCTCTCTCTCTCTCCTCCCCCCCCCCACCCCCCCACCACCACCATATTCCCCTCCCTGCGACCCTGGCTCTCATTGGCATTGGTAGGAGGAGAGCAAGAAAGAAAGTGAATCATGCAAAGGAGGAAGGAGCGAGGGGGACAGATCCCGCAAAATAAAAACAGAAGAAAAGGAGGGAGGAGTGATGAGGACAGAATGGTGAAGGAATGCAGGCACTCTCAGGAAGGGGGATGATGCGAAAGCAGGACAGTCTTGGACATATGTTTGCAAAACAAGAAAAGGAGCGATCACTGATCATGTAATTCAGACCAACAATGGCCTTGCCGCCTTGGGACTGGAGAGCGATCTTGTGTGGATCCGGGCACCCGTACCAGGCCAGCCTGTTCACACTCAAGATGTTTGATTTGGGAAGGAAGGCCGTCATCTGGTCCCTATGGCTCAGACGCTTTACTTTGGAAATGGACAGCGTCCGTCTGGACAGGAAGGAACTGAGAGACATCGTCCAACAACAAATACAAAATGGTAGATGAGCACATTGGGATGCAGTGAAGGAAAAAAAATGGGCATTTTTACATACGAAGAAGGAAATTCAAGCACTAATCAAGAAGTTCTGTAACGATTGCCTGGGAGGGGATCAGGGGGGGGATGGATGGGCGAGGTGCAATGGCAGGGTGGCTCAGGGATGGAGGCCCAAGACCGGCCCAGCAACAAGGATTGCAAACTCCTCTTTCACGAGTGGACAGTCATTGAGGGGTCAGTCCAGCTGTGCCCCCCCTCATCGGACTTTGGTGATCCCCCTTTCCCCCACATGGGCCACACCCCTTCCTCTTGGGCCCTTGGTGGAACCTCTAAGGTTTAGGGTTGTAGCACAGCTAGGGGTAATCAGAGCTACCTTCTTCCCCCGAACATAACGCATATGTGTTAAATTCGAGTTTTCATATTTGAAAAAAAAATCGAATAGAACGCATATGCGTTGTATTCAAAATTTAGGGCTATTCGAATAGAACGCATATGCGATGTATTCGAACAGAACGCGCCCTATGTGTTGTATTCATTTACAACGTATATGCGTTATGTTCAGGGGAAGAAGGTAGGGGTAAACTCCCGAAAAGTTCAGGAGCGCTCTCTCCAACCGTGTTCTCACCGCTCTCCAACTTTTTCAAGATAATGGGTTTGGAGAGTAGGTGTGGCGATGCTTCCCCTCCTGAAAACCCCATTTTCGGGATAGGTGTGGCGAGGCCCATTGTCTCAGACATGTTCGTAGCCCTGGTGAAGGGTTCCAATCTTATCATTATTACAAGAGTTCCTTTCCGAAAAATTATATACATATATATCGTCAAATAGAACTGCCCGGTAAACCGTAGGCAGAGAGGGAGAAGAGGACAACAAACGAGGGGCTGTGACAAACTGTTTCGTCGGAGTTTCACCGACTCATCATATATATATGCCCCTCGTTTGTTGTCCACTTCTCCCTCTCTGCCTACGGTTTACCGGGCAGCTCTATATATATATATCGTCAAATAGAACTGCCCGGTAATATATGTATATATCCCTCTCTGCCTACGGTTTACCGGGCAGTTCTATTTGACGATATATAGA